TTTGTTTTGAAACTAAAAGATTTTCTTGAGTTTCTCTGAGAATAGTATTTCTATTTCTTTACTTATCTCTGTTTCACCTAGTCATTTGTATGTTCATTTTAATCCGCCCTCCCATACCACTGGATCTCCTTCTTTGTCAATAAATCCCTGATTTTCCATTGGTGTTTAAGGAATTAGTAGCTGGTGTCTTCTTTCCCAGGGATCACATAAATGATCCAGTGGATTTACAGTGTATTAGAGCTGAAGTCCCTTTGCCTCTGCTAAACCCCAAGTTAGGATTAGCACTGTAAGAAGTATTTAATGGCCTCTGAATTCCCTTAAATGACCAAATAAGAAGGACTATATTTGGGGCACTTATAACTACAGTAGAACCTTAGCTTTGATTACCATGTCCTTTTCCTCAAGAAAGAGAATCTGAATGTCCTCTCTGGTTGCTGGCATAGAAAAAGGTAATCAAAGTATTGGGAGATAGTCTTTTCTTTTCTTTTCTTTCTTTCTTTTTTTATTTGGGGGGTGGTGGGGGGGGGTACCAGGGATTGAACTCAGAGACACCTGACCACTGAGTCACATCCCCAGCCCTGTTTTGTATTTTATTTAGAGACAGGGTTTCAAAGATTTGCTTAGTGCCTAGCTAAGTTGCTGAGGATGGCTTTGAACTCTCAATCCTCCTGCCTCAGCCTCCAGAGTCACTGGGATTATAGGCTTGGGCCATGGCACCCGGCTTGGTATTGTTAACTGTCTGTCATTTCTTTAATTTGTTTTCAGCCCTGTCTCTCTTTCCCTTCACCAGACCTCTTCCCTCAGTTGGGCTCCACTAGGTAGAGTGTATCTCACCTGTTCTGTGGGCCCTGATAGCAGATCATGTGCAGGACAGTAGCTTTCTTTTCTTCTCTTTTTTATATGCTCCCATCAACTTCCCTCTTCTGGATATTTGTTAAAAATCTGTTTGTTGACATCTCCCTCGTTCTCTTTTATTCTTAAATATTTTCAGAAATCTGATGTTTGTCAACATTTTATTTGTAAATAATATTGGAATTATAGGAAAGTTGTCAAAATGGTAGTGTTTTCTTTGTCTTAATAACTTATAGAAATCATAAGTTGATCAAAATAAAGAAACTGATATTTGTATAATGTTGTTAGTTAAAACTACAAATTATATGTGGGACTGTAAATTTTCCACTAATGTCTTTCTGGGATTTGAATCAAATTCAATCCCCACATAAAGCTTAGATGTCAGACTTCCTTGGTCTTCCAACATTTAGTAATAGTCTAAATATTCCTTAGTTTTTTTTTTTTGTTTTGTTTTGCTTTTTGTTTTTATTTTGTGGCCATGACTCTTGAAGAATACTATTAGTATTTTGTTAAATGACTTTGTTAAGTTTTTTCTGATGTTTCACCATCATTAGACTTGAGGTTATATTTTTGTAACAGGAATACCACAGAACCAATCTGCCTTTCTTCATACATCTTACCATGGAGTATGGACCCAAAGGGCCATATCTCTGAAAATATTAACCTTGCTCACTTAATTAAGGTAATGCCTGCAAGTCTTCTTTATTGTAAAGTATCTAATTTTTTTTCCAGTGCGATATCTTTGGATAGATATTTTGGTAGTATGGAAATACAATGTTTCTCCTCAAACTTTTGCCTAGTAATTTTAGTATCCATCCATAAGTCTTGCCTCCATCAAATATTTCTGTCTTGTTCAATTAGTGATGTTTCTATTTTCCCCATTATTTCAGAGTTGTTTGTTGATATTTTTCTGTAAGGAAGAGTTATTTTCTTACTGTTTCTGTCTCTTTTCACTCTGTGATTTATTTATCATACTATGGACACATGAATACTTACTTGATTTTATGAATATGATCCATAGTATAATTTTTAACTTTTTTCTTAAAATTTTTCTAGCGTTGGCCATTGAGAGCTCTTTTGCATTGGTTCCTAAGTTCTGTTGACATCCCCTCTTTCCTTTTTGAGCATTTCCTTAACCATGTCATGACAAGATGCCTTAGAGTCCCCTTCTGTTTTCTGTGGGTGCAGTTCTGGAATCAACCACTTCAAGGATCCCTGGATACTTTTATTGGAGATTAAAATTAGAAAACAAAATCTGAATAGTATGTATGTTTCTTGTTACAGATGTGTCATTGTTATTAGAAAATTTATACATATGCATGCATTTAAAGTTATTTCTATGTCTATTTAATTGATATATAGTAAAAGCCATGAGTTCATAAGTGTATCCTTATATTACTTTTTAGTAGGATATTGGGAAAGATAAGTATGTTTGGTTAGCCATCTTCAGCCAGAAAATACAGTCCTTCAGAGAAAACATTAAATAAACGAATTCGAGTGTTTGTTCTAAGAAAAATTTTCTATTCTTCCCACTTGATGCTCCAGTACAAGTGTTTTAGTTCTTCCAACATTCTCTTCGTTCACTTTGTATTTCTGTAACAGAGTATCTGAAACAAGGTCATTGATATTAAACAGAAAATTATTTGACTGATGTTTCTGGAGGCTAGGAAGTTCAAGACTTTGGTGCTAGTTAGTGTCTGGCCAGGGCCTACATGCTGTCCTAACATGGTGGAAAGGCAAGTGGGAAAAGAGAGAGGGAAAAAACAAAATAGAACAGGAGAACATCATTTTGTCAGAGTCCAGGCCCATAATGCTGGCATGAATTCATTAATTCCTAATGATTAATGTCTTAGAGCCCCTGCCAATACTCTTACAATAGCCCTCAAATTTCAACATGAGTTTTGGAAAAGATATTCAAACCATTAACAGATAGATACCCTAGATTGTTTGAATAAACGTCAATCCAGACTGTCATAAATAGAAGAATGCAAACAGGTCCATGTACATTTGTTAAATAATTGCAAAAATGAAGAGATCTGTGGTGTCTTCATTATATCAGTTTGGGGGGGGGGGTGTCAAGAAAGAGTTTAGGGTCAGCAATAGGAAAATATAATAAGATTCAGTTCAAAATTCAGCACATCTTTAAGCCAAAACAGTGTTTGGAACATAATAGGTACTCAATATGTGTTTGCTAAAAATGAACGAGTAAACCTTCACCAACATCACCATCTATGAACATCTGTTGCCATATAGGTTAGTACATAATTAACAGCATATTTTTGAGTATAATATCACACTGCTCTGTTCTAATCATGCACAACTAATTCATTCAACATACTACTATTCAACAAACTACAATTGTAAGCATGTATTATTTTATGTGAAAGGAGTCTATAAGATAATGTTTTTTTTTTCCAAAAATTTCTGTCATTTTTTTTTCAAAAATTTTTGTCATTTTCTTGAGTGACTTCAGATGTATAGGATTAGTCCTGTGAGATGGAACATTTTGAAAACCTGTGTGAAATTGTAAAACCCTTATGTGTGTGAATGCAGGAATGATCCAACAAAGGTGTTATTCGCTTAAGACAAAAACCAAATTATTTGTTCTTCAAGAAAGTACCGAGGATTAATAAAACTAAGTAGAGTTTTGATAAAACATTCTTGCTTCATTGAGAAAACTTGCTCCAGTATCTCAACAACACATGGCTATTTTGTTCATATGACAAATAGTGAATTAGTTATATGTGACACTTTTTACAATGTAAGAGCTGATGTTATTGGCGAGGGAAAGGATCCAATATATCTCTTCAAACAATAGAGCTATAGTAGAAATTCTTAATTTTATTGAAAAAAATAATGAATTTAATTGTACATGGTAAATAACATTAAGGTTTTACAAGTTTCACTGATGGGCTATCCAGTTTTATGTGGTTTTCCAATTATTGGAAGGAATACCATGGAAATCATCTAACATGTACATTTATAAGCTTGAAGGATAAAATTTGCATGATCGTGGTAAAGTTATTAAAATATTTAATTAATTTACATCTCTAGATAAAGTTTATTTACATCATTTTTTATTTTCTAAGTTTAACAACTTCTCACTTATGACATGAAATTTATTTTTAAATGTAAAATTAATATATGATCATTGTAGAAAAATCTGGGAAATTTACACACACAAAAATTAAAAGAATTATTCCACTGCTCAAGAAAAACCACTTTAATATTTGTCTTAGATATTTTTCAGAAACACACTGTAGAGAACATATTCCTTTTAAAATCATGATAGTGTGCATTTGCTCCCATTTTATTAAAGTCTTTGAATTTGTACATTGGTACGCTGGTCTCAGGCCTGGGTGACTTTTAAAAAAAAAAATTCATCAAGTCCTGTGGCATGCACTCATCATTCTCCCTCAAAACTGACACTGATGAGAGAGGGTTGGGGGCTCTGAGAAGGTTGGAGAGGTAAGTGCTGATGTGTCTGAGTGGGGCCAGCAGGGGCTGCTGTCATGGATGAGCTGCCACATTCCTGGTGTGTCTGACCTTGGACTCACTTAACATTATAGTCTGGATTCTATTAAGGAATTTTGTGTTTTTCCTTTGTAAGAGTCACCCCCTACCATGACAAATATTTTAAAATATTTCTTAAAAAAAAAAAGTAAGGAAAGCAAACTTTTTCCCAAAAGAAATTTATAGTTCAAATTTACACCAAGTTCCCACTAACTAGAGCAAGCAAGGTTTTTGCTAAAGCTTCGATTTTCCTCTGTAAAACATTAGTCACTCCCTTGGAAGAAGAAGGCTTTTTTTTTTTTTTTTTTAATAGGCAGTAGGATAAAACAGCTACAGATGTGCATGTAATATGATGGGTTTTAGAATGTACCTGCAGAATGCGGGTGTGTGTCTATGTGTGTATATTCAATTCTGAGAAAAAAAGATGAAAGAGAAAAGACTGAATTGGAATGCAAAAATAATGGTGATGCAGTATTAAGGAAATGATGTGTTTTTGATCCATTCAAGTGGTGTTTTCTTTACCCATTTTCTTTATTCCCGGGAAGTTCTGAAAGTTGTGCCAAGTTGTTTTCACTGAAACAATTTTAAAAGTATGTGCATTTCCCATGTGTGACTATTGCCTTTTTACTGTGCAGGACTGTCCTGATGCCTGTGGCCAAAGAGTTTGATCCAGATATGGTCCTGGTTTCCGCTGGATTTGATGCATTAGAAGGCCACACCCCTCCTCTGGGGGGGTACAAGGTGACAGCAAAGTGTAAGTCTCTCATTCAGGACTTTATGAAATGCTATGCTATCATAACATCTTTTAGGATTTTGGAAAGACAATATGTTTCACACAAGTCCAGTAAATTTTGGTGATTTACTGCACCAAAATGATTCAAATGGTGTTTATTGCTCTGTCAGATTCATGTCTCAGTGAAAACTGGCCTTTAAGGAAAACAAAGTTGAATGGTTTCTTTAGTGAACTTGGTGGGACATGTCAGGACCTTTATACCTTTCAGGAGTCCCATTTTTCATTTAAAGACAGAAGTGATAAGGCTTCTGTTTAAAATATGCTGGAAAAGCTACTGGGTTTTTTTCTGCAAGAAGAATGGAAGTCTTTGTCTTTGTTTCCTTGTACATGGTGTGGAGATAGCTATTTTTCAATAGTGTTATGCCCTTCCAGGTTCAAAGGCAAAAGTGTAGTAGTCTCCTTGCTCACAGGCTCTGTGTGGTCTATGAAAAATTCTCGGAGTCTCTACTAGTGTTCTCTTGTGTTGCAAAGCTGAACTTTTTGTCTGTGTTCTGTAGTAACCAGACACCAAACCAAGAAATGAATTTTGGTGTTATATTACATTTAAATAACACAATTCAATGGAATTTGGCTAGAAATGAGGCTTTCTTTAAGAAAGAAATTTCCTTGCTCTGGGTGTGAAAGTAAGGCATATGTATAGTTCATGCATATAAATGTATGCTGGCAGGATAGGTATCTATAAAAGAAAAAATGTAAAATTACACAAAGAATAGGAACCACTATTGTATATTTTAGGGAGAGCTGAAAATCAAACAAAACAAAAACAACCCAAATAGTTTTAAGTGGGAGAGATGAGTTTGAAACAAGTGTGCTGTATTAATTTGAAAAGAACCAAAGAAACAGCATCATGCCAACCTTTGTTTTTAGTTGGCTGCTCATGTGAGAGAGTTTTCTGTACTCTAATTATTCCAGTAACATTGTTAGGTAGTAGCTATTTTTAACATCTATTATTTACTCAGAGTTCTTGGTGCCTTGTTGTCTATTGAAAACATATTAAAACAGGCAACTCCACAAAGACAAAAAAACATAATAATGCATAATTTTGCTAAAATTCAATAAAGAGGTGTTTGCTTATGTCAAATCTATCTTTATGATCCTTTTTTGTTGTTGTTCATGGAATTCAACTCAAGTAGATGTCAGTTTTGAATTGAAGATAAAACTCACTTGGGTTAAAACTGGTGAATAGTTTAGTTTAAATTTTAAAAAAATAAAAATAAATAAAGTACCCCAAATTAAGAAAAAACCCAAACAATACAAAACACATGGAAAGCAAAGAAAGAAATCTATAAAAGGTGCTCCTTGCCATTGGATCCAAAAATATCTCTCAGGGGAGAGGAATGGTAATCTTTCAGGACTTTTTCCCTGCCAAGGGGGAAGTTGTAACATGTCCATTTCTGAAAACTAGCTGGAAGGGATTAATCTTTTTGTTTGCTCATTTTTTTTTTTTTTTTTTTTTTGCCAAATCTAGTTCAAATCTCAAATGTCATCTTGAAAGGTAGAATAGAAAGTAGTAGTAGCATGTTTTTTTTTTTTTTTTTGGTTATGAATGTAAGAAATATGAGTTCTACCACTCTACCACTTTTAGTTTCAGTATCATGTTAATCAGCTTTCCATTACTGTAACAAAATAACTGAGATAATCAACTTACAGAAGAAAGGTTTATTTTGGCTGACAGTGTGGTTGGTTGGTTAACCTGTTGCTTTGGGGTCTTTGCTGAGGCAGTACATCATGATGAGAAGTGTGTGACAAAGCAAAACTGTTCACCTCATGGCCAGCTAACAAAAGAGAGAAGACAGAAACAGGGTGCTACAGTTCCTTTCAAGGGCATGCTTCCATTGACCTAAGGATCTCCTATTGGTCCCCAGCTCGTAAGGTTTCCACCACTTCTCAATTGCACCAAGCTGAGGACTAAGTCTTTATTTACCACATGGGAATCTTGGAAGACTCTTAAAGGCCAAATAATAACAAGAAGAATGCAATAAAACCTTTTTTTCAATCCATTTGCATTGTTATGCATTTGGGGAGAGCTCTTCATTGCTTTCTGTCCCAGAGTAAATCTGAATATAATCTTTACCCTCTCCCCCAACCTCTAACCCCTTTATATCTATTTCTTCCCTTGAATATCTTTTCTACGCCAGAAACCATACACTTTTTTTGTTGGGTGCCTGTTTCTTAAGAAAAGCAAATAGATAGGCTAGGGTTGTGGCTCAGTGGCAGAGCACTTGCCTAGCATGTGTGAGGCACTGGGTTTGATCCTTGGCACCACATTAAAAGATAAATCAATAAATAAACAAATAAAAAGTTAAAAAAAGAAAAGAAAAACAAAAAGATGCAGGTTTTAGGTGATGTAACAATTGCCCATTTGTTGAATATTTGCCTATTGATAAGGCATAGATACTCAACAAGGAGAGAGGATCTTAGACTCCAAAGAGATTATAGGAGAGGCAGTCCAAACCAATTCACATGTTTCATAGATAAGGAAACTAATTTTTTTATCATCTGAAATAGCTGGGGTTAAAACCAAAATGCTTTTCCTGAATTTGTACTTAGATGAAATTGCTTGATGCATTTACTAGATTTTTCCATTAAAGACAAAATCATTTTATCAACTGCATGTTAGTAGAGAATTTGCATGCACACTTTACAGTGGCCAAATTCATGCCCAAGACCCTTATCTTTACTATCAGGGACTGTGATAGACACTAACAACAGAGCCTCACTGCTGGGCAGCTGTATATATCATCTCCTGTAGGCTTTAGTTTGCTGGCGCTATTTTCTAGTAAGGCTGCCACACTAACAGGGTAGAAGCCGGGGTTTATGGGCAGCTCTGCAGTTATCCCCCAGTGGTTCACCATTGGCTTTCTTTGTTTGCTTCCTAACCACCAGGCTCTTACTTTAGTCTGAAAGTTCAGGACAGGCAATTAAAACTGGGCTCCTGTTGTCCCAAGGCAGAAATCACCTCCATTTGCAGGGAGTCCCAAAATGAAGTTAGAAATGAGCTAAAAAAACTCACATAAAAAGTAGGTATAAGATACAAAAGCAAATTCCTCTCCTAAACTTTTTGGATTCTGGCCACATTCATCTGTGTTCCTAGTAGAACACTGAATAATGTTAGAGAGTTATTTTGAGGTTATTATGTCAGACATACTTAAGTCTTATTTTTTTAGCACCTTGAATCAATCTTTTAAAATAATTTTTTAATATCTCCAAAAGAAAAAGAGAGGGCAAGTAAAACAGCAGAACTTTTTGTTTATTTTATACATCTAGTTAGCAATCTAAAAAATAAATAAAAAGAAAAACAAAACAGAAAGGTAGGTATATGTCAAAAGTCCCAGCCTGAATATAGACGTGGTTAAAATTCAACGGATTTGTGACTAGTGCGTTTTCCATCCTCCCTCTCTTGTGTTTAAGGACCAGGCTTAAGTTCCAACCTTCAAGGAATAAGTAGCTTTATTTCTTGCCCTAAGCCCAGTGTAAGAATTATCTTGAAGGTATCAGTTTATCATTTTAAATACACTGGTTCAGATAGAATTGTCTTCAGGTTATAGTTTGAGGAGAATCCAGTGCTGGGGTTGTGGCTCAATGATAGAGCACTCACCTAGCATGTTTGAGGAACTGGGTTTGATCCTCAGCACCACATAAAAATAAATAAATAAATAAAATAAAAAGTACTGTGTCCAACTACAACTAAAAAATAAATTAAAAAAAAAACAACAAGATTCCATGACAACTCAGTACCAGGTTCAAACAATAACATCGATTCACCATATTGCAGTCCCCACTGGCTTTCTAGTATTGTCAACTTAAACAAAAAAGAACAGACTAGGTTCATTAGTTCAACATCATTTTTAAAAAAATATTTATTCTCACATTTTTATTGGCATGTTATAGTTGTACATACTGATGGGATTTATTGTTACATATTCATACATGCACACAGTACAAAATGTGACAATATAATTAGGCCAATATCACTTCCTAGCACTTCCTATTTTTTAATTTTTTTATTTTGAGACACGGTCTTGATAAATTGCTGGGGCTGAATTTGAATATACCATCCTCCTCCCTTGGTCTCACTGGGATTAAAGGAGTACAACACCACACCCAGCAATTTTTATTTTTATTTTATCTCCCTCACCAGTATTGCAGATTGAACCCAAGGACACTCTACCATTGTAGTTCAAATTAATTTTATAACAAGATATATTTTTTTTCTTCGATTTAACACATGAATGCATTCTACTTTCTTTGGTATATGAAGTCAATTCCTGTGTACAAATTGCTTTTATCATGTGGATAGAACTTTTTCTGGCTTTGGGATAATGCAAAAGTCCTTGTATTATGATAGTGTCTCATAAAAATAGGTTCCTTTTATATAAAATATGTTCCTTTAGTAAATAGTTTATAGTCTGAAATATAAATCATTTCCCTTGGAGAATACATAGTTTTTTTCAGAAATACTAGTTGGAGGAAAAAATCAAATAGCATATCTTAGAGTCTTGAATTACTGTCTTCTCTTTGACAGAGAGTTACTCCTTTTGGTAATCCTCCTATTCTTCTATTCCTATGAAGGTCTGTAAAAACAGGGAGAGAAAATTCTTTGAGGACAGATAATTGCTAAATGAATTCAAGCTTTGCTATGAGTTATCCTGGGGTAAATACAGAAATTCTCTGATTAACCAGTCCTAAACACAAGTTTCTAAAAAGTTAGGTGCTAATTCAGTCTACAAATGAATGCCAAGACACAAGTTTTATCAAAATATAAGGCTAAGTTGGTCTATGCCAACTGTTAATAATGATGTATAGGCTTCATCCTCTGTGTGTGTGTGTGTGTGTGTGTGTGTGTGTGTGTGTGTATATATATATATATATATATATACATATACATATATACATATATATAAGGTATGCAACTCAACTGCCTTCTATCTACATGTATAATTTGTCCAAGCAGTTGAATA